CTCAACAGGCCTGTCATTCTTTGTTGTTAATATGATACAGGTGTTTTAATACAGCTTTTTTGATACCATTAAATTTCAATTTAAGCATGTATCAGTGTCCTAGATACACCTGTTCTGGCACTGCTGATAAATTACCCCCCAAAACGCAAGTGTGTTCAGTTATTTGTGTGAAAGACTACAGAAGAAAACTGGGTTGCCTAATGATATCTCTATTCCCCAGTGTATATAGAGGCGCAATTTCTAGAGTAAAATAAAATGCAGACTGCATTTTAGGACTTTTTTTTTTTTGGGGGGGGGGGATAGTCACATCAGGTATTTAGTCTATAGGCAAGGCACCAAAAATAAACCAGACTGTTGAATATCTCAGGGATATTCCTGTGAGAGGCATTACTTCCCACACTTTACTGCTGAAATAGATGTGTAACTCCATGGAACTTGCAAAGGCAGTAGTAAAACACAGCAATGAAAATGTTGTACAAATCCAAAATCACTGTGATAAGAACTTTATTTACAGGTGGCATTTTCTGCATCATATCATTTCCAGTGGACTTTCTGAATGACTGCCATGTTGCAAAACATTTTGTGGGATAATCCAGGATGCACACAGTTCATGCAACGGCCGAAGCATTGTGCCTCAGTTTTGTCCCTATAAATCACTTTGCAGACTAGTACCCAACTTATTCTGCAGAGAAGATTACTTAAGAAAGTAGAAGTATCCATAATTCTCCTTGCACAATTACCAGTGCTGACTAACACCCACAACCTTTAGCTACTACTTACCTTGCATTCAACTTAGGAAGCTGAAAGAATGCACCGTATCTTTTTAGTTTCTAATGAAGACCAGAGGTAGTTTCATAGTTTTTTCATCTAACTCAGCGATTCCCAAATTCTAGTCCTCCAAATGTTTTGGGCTTTAATTCCCACAGGCCTCAGCAACTGTGGGCAATGATCAGGAATTCTGGAAGCTGAAGTCCAAAATACAGGAACAGTAAGGTCTTCCAGGCTGTATGCGATTGCAAAATATATACAAACTCTATGGCTGTGTCAGGTGGCTCCTATGTTATGTTTATTCTGGAGCTGTGGAGAGACTGCTAGCTTTGCTTATTTGCGAAGTAGAAAAGTATTTATATCCCATCTTGAGCTAAGTTTTGGCAATGAGAACATGTTTTTATTCCATCCTCATTGGTTAACCATTTCACAGATAAAACCCCTCTCATAAGAGCTGACTAGAGCCCCTTCTACACTGCCCTATATCCCAGGATTGGATCCCAAATTATCTGCTTTAAAATCGAATTATATGAGTCTCCACTGCAAGATAATCTGGGATAAGCAGACAATCTTGGATCAAATCCTGAGATATAATGACAGTGTGGAACGGTCCTTAGATGCTGTCATTGGAGCAGAAGAGGCCAATAAGATGTCCAGTAACTGGGAGTGGAATTACACTGGATCAGTTTGAATTAGTGAGTATTGTTGATATGGGCAAGTATTGAGGACAACTTGCTTTCTGGAGCCCCCAGTTGCATAGTGGATTAAACCCTTGTACCGGCAGGACTGAAGACCAACAGGTCGCAGGTTCGAATCCGGGGAGAGTGTGGATGAGCTCCCACTGTCAGCTCCAGCTCCCTATGTGGGGACATGAGAGAAGCCTCCCACAAGGATGGTAAAACATTAAAAAAATCCAGGTATCCCCTGAGCAACGTCCTTGCAAGCAGTCAATTTTCTCACACCAGAAGCAACTTGCAGTTTCTCAAGTTGTTCCTGACACGAAAAAAAACTTGCTTTCTTGATCCCTGTCCCTCTTAGTTGGTTGTCCAGGAAGGAGATGCAATTAGATTTCAAATACAATAAATGTATCTTTTAGGGGAATTTTCCACTCTGTTTAAAAGCAGTAGTTAGACCACTTCTGAAAAAACCCTCTCTGGAGCCCCTGGACCTTAATAACGACAGACCAGAGTCTAACCTTCCTTTTTTGGGCAAGGTGATTGAGAAGGCAGTTACTCTCAATTGTTTTCAAACAATTGAGAGTAAGGTTTGAAAACAATAACAAAATCTTGAAAGGGGGAAATAGAGTTAATGATTGAAGAGAAAAAGTACTAGAGTATATCCAAATGCCCAAGCTAACTAATTGTATTAGAGGGGGGCTACCATGACTGGCAACCGTCATCCAGAAGATGTTTTCATTAACCACCCGACTGTGGAATGCCCTGCCAGAAGAGATTCCACAGCTAGATCAGCTGTCAGAATTTAAGACACAACTGAAAACCCATCTCTTCCGATGGGCCTGTCCAGTGGATTTTAATTTGTATTTGAACTGTTTATCTTGTTGGGTGTTTTATTTTAATAGTGTTTTATCTCTTGTTTTAATGATGTTGTATCCCGCCTCTAGCCACAGGAAGACACAGGTAATCAAGTTGTTGTTGTTGTTAACCACCACCATAAATCATGAGATGATAGATCCTACCAAGTGTTCTACAATTTATAGAGAAAGTTGGGGCAATGTTTGGATAAGTCTAGGTTACTAATCTCTGTCAGCTTTGCCCGAAAGGTCTCTATGAGCAGAAGGAAGTGAGACCAGGGGATTGAGAAAGTTGGAGTTGCAGTGGCCTATCCCCCTGACCAGCCACCCTATCCCTCAATAAGATGGGTTGATGTGTTTATTTTAAAATGACAGGGACAATTTAGAAATTTTGTTGGCGTACCACCACCACCACACTGCTCAAATGTCTCCCTTCATGAGCTACCTTGCTAGCTAGCAGTCTTTGAAATGCTGTTGTTGCATCTGCAACTTGTGATCCTGGGGTACTTCAACATCAATGCTGAGACTACCCTGTTAGGAGTTGATCAGGACTCTCTGTCCTCTATAACAACCATGGATCTGTCCTAAATGGTATACTGTTGGGACACACTCGGACCTTGCATTCTATATCCTTGGCGCTAATTATCTGTGGAAGGGACACGGGACGAAACGGGCTGGAGGTTGTGGGAAATGATAAGGCGGGGGGGGGGGGGGGGGAATAAAGAGAATGGAAGAATATGGCAAAATAAGACCTTAACAAATCAGACGACCAATAATGGGACAGAAATTAAGATCATGGAAATGGACTGCGGCATGGAGGAGGGGAGGTGTTCCACTAGCCGAGGTGCCCCCATAGAAGTCGTGGTGGGGAAGGGGAGAGGCGGGAAAAGGAGACCATTAATTCGGCCTAGGGATCGTACAACTACACTAGTAATTCCAAACAGGTCTCCTAATATGGTAAATTGGAGTAACCGGGGTGGCGGTCCCTCTGGATTGAAGGTGATGCTGTTGAACGCCAGATCTGTCAACGGAAAAACTACTGCCATCCAGGACTTAATCCTGGATGAGCGAGCAGATCTGGCGTGCATCACGGAGACCTGGCTGGACGAAACTGGTGGTGTGAATTTGACCCAGCTTTACCCGCCAGGTTTTTCCGTGCAGCATCAGCC